GTTGACGAAATGCGGTTACATTTTGAATGGAAGTCAATGGAGAAAGCAGAAAGCTTTTTTTTGGTAGCAGAAAGGTCCACCTAATCTTAGTCCACTTGATCAATGTTAGATCACCATGGGCCTGTTAATGACCATGAATGATATTATTAAAATCAATGCAATGTGATAGATAAAAAATAGATACACTGGGAATTGGTTGGATTATAACAGACTTAATGCTAAGTCCACTAGATAGTGTGCATGGACCAAATGCGTCTTTCCGCACTCATGGCCAAAGGAGAATACTTTAAGACGGAGCAGAAAGCAGCAAATGAAGAATATCAGGGCCTTAAATATGATATGTTGTCTGTATTAGTGTCTAATTTGTTGAAGAACCATTCATTTGAGTCTATTTTGTCAATGGTTCACAGAACTGGTCTGAATGAGTCACTGGCCAAACAAATTAACTGATTTACTCTCTTAAGTCAGACTGAAAGACTTGTTGGCGAAAACGATAAAACAGTTCACAGAACTGGTCTGAATAGTTCATTCATCCAACAAAATGATTGATCCACTTTTAAATTGGACTGAATGACTTAACGGTATTGGCAAAAATGATAAAACAATTCACAGAACCAATCTGAATGATTCACAGAACTAGTTTGAATGAATCATTCATCCAAAAAATAATTAATTTGCACTCTTAAATTGGACAAAATGATCGCGAAAAATGACTTATTGACTTAAAATGAAAAAGAAATATTGATTCACAGAACTGGTCTGAATGATTCATTCACCCATCTAAATGATTGATTCACTCAAAAATTACTGAATAGATGATTGAATGATTCACACACAACCAGTCTCACCAAATTAAATGATAGATTCACTCACAAAATAATTGATTCTGATGATTCCTGATTCAGAAATTTGACTGATTTGGTCCGATTTGGTCTTGAGTCGATTCACTGAATCTCTGAACTATTATCACCTAATGAAATCTTTAAATCAATATTCATGTGAAACTCTTGAACTTTTGAAGGGAGGGGTGTGTGGTACGGTAATTTGTTTATAAAACCATAAAAATACAACATTCACATTAGGTGAATGAGTCTTCATGAAGTCAACATCCACTCACATGTAATCTTGAGCCCATATCAGCGTGCTTCTCTCATCTGTCGTCTCCCTGGAGACAGCAACCATGGAAACCATGACAGGCCCCATTGACTGCAATCCCACAATTCCCTGTCCACTCGGCATGTGCGGTAAAAGCTTTCGTCTGGAGGGCTTCTTTATTCAGGTGACTTCAAAGGTAGATTAGTTTACCTGCAATCGATTTGGCACACGAGAAAAAGACAAGAACGCTCTCCAGATCTAAAGAAGCACAATAATAATAAAATTCAAAAGACATTTTAACCATAGCCTGGAGATGAAACACAGTTTCGTTGTGAATTCTGAAAAATTAGATGTTTCGTTACATATCAAAGACAGACAAGAGGAAGATCTTAAGTGCTATTCAGGCGGTAACTGTTTAACATGGATGTGAGGTAATTTCGGCATTATCAGGCTCTAGCTGGAATAGACAATTTCAGTGTTTTTCTTCCACTACAAAAGTTTCAACTCAAAATTTCTATCAATCCATTTCATGACTGAATTCAGTTTCCTGAATGAATCATTCAGACTGGTTTTGTGAACCAATTCAAATGATTCTCTGCCCAGATTTGACTTAATGATTCTTTCATTAATCAGACATTGATTACCAATCACTCATTTTTCCAGAAGTAAATTACGGGATAAATCTTCGATATGCTAAAAATCCCTATGCTAAAATTTTGGGTCAAATCAGTTAACAATGTGAACAGGTTCGAAGAACCGATCACCGGTGCAGTTCCCGCACAACGACGTAACTCGCTGCTTAACTACCAAAGTACGATCCATCAATGAATAAATCATCTAACTAATCATGACTGGTCATACTGTCCAGTCCATACTGTCGCAAAGTGGTTTTTGAACCATGTTGGTTTATTATGTCACGCACATGGTGGGGCAATAACTTCTTTTAATGAATCTGTTTGAGATCGAATTAATGCTGGATGGTTTGCTATTAATTAAAGACATGGCATCTGAGGAATTTTTCTCATTTTTCTCAGTTATTTTGCTCTATTTCCAGATTCAATCCTAGGCTCGTTCTTACATAGTAGAGCATGTTCGCATATGCGCAGTCTTCAAAAACGTTGCTTTAAATCTCTTGACAAGCTAAAATACAAATTTTATACTCACAATGCAACCAAATACTGAAAAGAGCTGCAAATACTCACAATGCAACCAATTACAGAAAGAGCTACAAATACTCAAAGTAACCTACAAATACTCACAACTTAACCAAATACAGAAACACGCTGCAAATACTCACAATACAACCAAAAACAGAAAAGAGCTGCAAATACTCACAACACAACCAAATACAGAAAGAGCTGCAAATACTCACAACCAAATACAGAAAGAGCTGCAAATACTCACAACACAACCAAATACAGCAAGAGCTGCAAATACTCACAACGCAACCAAATACAGAAAAGAGCTGCAAATACTCACAATGCAACCAAATACAGAAAGAGCTGCAAATACTCACAATGCAACAAAATACAGAAATCCGCTACAAATACTCACAATGCAACCAAATACAGAAAGAGCTACAAATACTCACAATATAACCAAATACAGAAAGAGCTACAAATACTCACAATATAACCAAATACAGAAATGCACTACAAATACTCACAATATAACCAAATACAGAAAGAGCTACAAATACTCACAATATAACCAAATACAGAAATGCACTACAAATACTCACAATGCAACCAAATACAGAAAAGTGCGGCAAATACTCACAACGCAACCAAATACAGAAAAAGCTACAAATATTCAAAGTAACCTACAAATACTCACAATGCAACCAAATACAGAAAGAGCTGCAAATACTCACAACGCAATCAAATACAGAAAAGAGCTGCAAATACTCACAACACAACCAAATACAGCAAGAGCTGCAAATACTCACAACACAACCAAATACAGAAAGAGCTGCAAATACTCACAACACAACCAAATACAGAAAGAGCTGCAAATACTCACAACGCAACAAAATACAGAAAGAGCTGCAAATACTCACAATGCAACCAAATAGAGAAATCCGCTACAAATACTCACAATGCAACCAAATATAGAAAGAGCTGCAAATACTCACAACGCAACAAAATACAGAAATGCACTACAAATACTCACAACGCAACCAAATACAGAAAAAGCTACAAATATCCGAAGTAACCTACAAATACTCACGATGTAACCAAATATAGAAAAGCTACAAATACTCACAACATAACCTACAAATACTCACAACGTAACAAAAATACAGAAACATCAATACATCATTGCACATCAGTATATTGAGTACATCAAAACTCAATCCAAAAATTTAGATATTTTTCAAAAATTAAATAAAATATCGGGCAAAATTTTTTGGAATTTTTACCTGGACAATGGGGGAAAAACAGACATTTTCAACTCAAACAGCAACCCCCCGAACCCCTCCCCCCAAAAAAAACAAACAAACAAAAAAACGTGTAAATGACAAAGCAAATACCTCCTAATAGGGCTTAAAGGTTTCAGCACATTCACTCAATGTCACACTGAAATATCATCACGTGACTTCATTGAACTTTATTGGACAACATTTTTTCCTTGAGTTAATTAATAGCTGTCACAACTCATTTTTTTTATCACGGTTTTATCACAGAAGTTTTATCACCGAAAAAGCCATACAAACATTATTTTACATAAACAATTACTGGCCAAATGGGGTTTTAGCACATACTGTATTGTTATAGCCCTTTTTGTGAGAGCACAATAACTGTTATACAACACCCTCCATCTCTCTCTTTAAGTTGCCGCATTTATGGCAGCCCAGTAATCTCAAGCTCTCAAAATATTGCTCGCTCTACGTCGGCCCGAGCGCTGGAGTGATGTGCAATTTGTTTAGCCAAAGGCACTCTATAACGGCTGAAGGGAGGAACGCAACTGGAAGAAAAGCCTTTTATTGCTCCAACATGGAGATCTTTCAGACAACAGCAAAATATACAGGCACTCCACTTTCCTGCCAGTCAAAGCACAGTCCATCTAAAGAGATGGCCGAATATGTGTGGACAGGTAGGCCTATTGAATCAGTATCTTCGCCTTTCACTATGACTCAAAGATATTTGAGGACACAAAAGGAGAACAACAACAACAAAATGTTTACAGTTAGTATCGCTAACTGGATCGCACGGCTACTCGTTAGATATTGCTTATATATTAAGAGGAGGTTATTAAGTGTTAATCAACAGTTTCATGACCCTGAAACAATCCACACACAAGGAGTCTGAAGAATCAAAATACACTTAGACAGCCTTGCTGTTACATTCGCTCAAAGCTGGATATCATGAAACGGCCTTGTGTACGTACACCAATCGTGCACTTTTCAAAGCCACCATATCAAAGGCCAACCTAAACAAAGCATTGCCAGACCAGAATCCGTCATATATTTACTCCGTTTTCCTGTCGTCCTACTTTTCCCGTCCTTTCAGATCTCAACGTTTTAAGATTTGTTGAAAAATGTGATAAATAAATAATTACATCAAATATAATAAATAATAAATGTAATATATCAGTAACAACACACAAAAGAAATAAACAAACAAATAAATAAATAAAATGTCACGACTGAAACTAAATGAAAGTGAATAAACAACTTAATTATAATATGTAATAATATAATACATTAATAAAAAAACAAACCCCCCCAAACAAATAAATATATCAAAATGAATAAACAAAGAACAGAGCTGAAACAAAACTGAAAGTGAATAAACAAATGAGATTTTGGGGTAAACCATTTCAAGTCAGTGAAGTAAGTTACAATTATTTGTGAGAGAGTGAATAAATTGCTCCTTGTTCAGAAATATGAGAAACACACTTACATGTGGCATTGTGTAAAATCCATGTTGTGGTCTGTGGAGCTGGATCCGTTTGGCTTACGGATAGAGAAGGGCTGTGGGTCACATTCAAATCCTCCATGTCTGACTTGGTATGTAGTCTGACTGTATGTAGTCTAGACAAGAATCAAACACATGTTCAAATGTATGTATAATCATGCTTTTAACAATGTATTTGTATAATCATGCTTTTAACAATGTACCAAGAAACTGCTTTCATCATGAGACTCTCAGTTAGCTCTGACACATCAGCTGCGAACAGAAAGTGTCGACAGTTGTCTGATATCAGACTGTGAAACTGTTGGCTGCCTCACAGAATCTCCAAGCGTGTCCTGGCTTCTGATTGGCTGCCACGGCACGCATACAATCCCACGCCCTTATTTTTAGAAAATTAATCGTTGGATGAAACACTGGTGAGCGTTCAAAGTTATCAGTCAAGAACATATGAAACTGTTCACTGACGATCTTGCGGGCAGTTCACGTAAGTACATGCTTTAATCTTCACTTGGCTTTGAAAGAGTTTCCCTCCCCAATTTAAGACATTTTTTTTTTTACACGGTCTCGGATATGATAACCAAAAGGGTCATCTTCAAAAGAGAAGATAGACGTAATAGATTCACATATGCAGCTAATTAAAGACGTATCAACCGTTTAAAAATAAATTATTCTGCGGTAAATAGTGTGCAACATTTTAAGGCAACGTAAACATGCTATGAATAATTCTATTCCTTCTAAAATACCTTTTTGGTACAAAATTTAAGGCAGCATTGCATGTACCCTTTACAGTGAAGGAAATCCCAGAATGCAGTTCAAGCTCAGTGAAAATTAAAAAAAAAAAAAAAAATCCCAGATGGCGAATGATGAATTCACTAATAATTTGTTAAAGTAGCAATAAAAACGTATAGTATAATAATTTACAATTATTTTACAAAATGTTTGTGTGTAAAGTATTTCTCATGCTTCTGAAAAATAGTCTAAAAGTGTAAAATTCACGTCCGAAATTTTTGCACGTTAAAAAATAAATTCGCCTTCACTTATGTCGATCACGTTTGCACAGTGCCTCCAAAACATTCATCCATCATTAAAAAAAATCGTATCGGGTTCGATTTTCTGCGTTTTTCACATCCATAGCAAGCATTTTAAATGGTGTTTTGACAATCAGAGCCACCGAATCACGAATACGGAAAAACGCATCCGAAAATTTCGGACTCAGTGTGCAAGACCCTGCAATAAGATTTCAGCGACAAATAATTTGTCTGTCCACACTAGACGCGACTGCGAGATGCGTCAAAATTAATCAAAACCCACAGCCAATCAGGACAGAGTGTGGGTGGAGTCTCGCAGAAAGTGCACAGCACTAGAGATTCGCACTCGCAAGAAAATGGATAAGTAGGCTACATAATCAAATTCACAAAAATTATACCATTTAAACATTATTAAAAATATATAGGGTAGTTACTAAAACAATCTTTGTCTAAGAATACACTTGTTTGTTCACAGTTTGAACGTTCTTGTTTAACTTCAAGATCTGAGGTGAATTATTTTTCGAGATTTGTGAATTACGAATTTTTGTCAAGATCTGAAAAAAATTCTGATTAACATGGAAAAGATACCTTTTATCGCGTGTCGCGTCGTATGTGTAGTTATGACACGGTGTTAAGCTGTGAAGAAAATGTATCCAAGATGGAAAACGAGTAGACTAGAAATTCACGTCACAAAATTTAAATTAAAGAAAAAAGTATTCTAATAAAAATTGTATACATTTTACTGATTATACACTTCTATGTTAAACCTTGAAAAGTATCATTTAAAAAAGTATTTTTAGAATAAAAATAAATCTCTATTTTACTCAATATTTTTGTACTGTACTCAACATGACATCATGACTTTTGCGTGAACATGGTTGGGTTAGGATAGTTCGGGAAGACTCATAAATCGTATTAACCCCAGTGAGTGACGGGTAGGTTTAAGGACGGGGTTGAGGTAGGTCATATATTTATATATACAGTAATGTAACGTTAAGTCAACGGCGTTCATAAACACGCTGAAAAGCGATTATGCGTGTTGATAGCACGGCAAAAATGGAAATACGAATTGGCGTGTCATACGCCATTTCATGAGATCAGTCTGCTGTACTTATGCCTCTGAACAGCTACATGTAAAAAACTGTAGGATGGCAGATGTGTCAACTAGAAATTCACTTAATTCAAGCCTGAAAAACATTAATAAAAAGTCTAATCTATTATACATACTATTTTTATCAATAGTTTTAGTCATGCACTTTTTTAATGAGTATCATGTTGTTACCTTAGCAACATGCTAATATCAACTACATGCTAATATCAACTACTGGAATTGTACTCAATACTTGTGCTCTTAAAGTGCCCCAATTATGTTATTTTAAAGTTTCCTGATGTTGTTTTGGAGTCTCCTACAACAAGTTTACATGCATCAAAGGTAAGACCCTTATTCATCGTCTGGTGTCGTTTAAAGCCCTTTGAAGCTGCACTGAAACTTTCATTTGGACCTTTATATGTCCATTATATGGAGAAAATCCTGGAATCCTGGAACCTTAATTTCTTTTCGACTGAAGAAAGAATGACATGGATCTCTTGGATGACATGGGGGTGAATAAATTATCCGCAAAAGTTTTTTTAAAAAAAAAAATTGAACTACTCCTTTAAATTATTGCAGTGTTAGCTTAGCAGCATGCTAATCCTAACTCACCTGGAATCAGCAGAGAGTTTGACAAACTATTTTTAACATTCCAAATCAGTCAACGAACAGCAAGTTTTTGTCCTAACTTCAGCATAAAGTCACATTGAGGAGGAATACGTGTGCTCGGAAACTAATTAAGGTGTTGCGGATTATTTCTAACTTTTCCCAGGAAAAAGGCAGAAATGACACGAAGGACCGGGCGCCTGTGATGAGTCTTATTTGTCAAATTGGAAAGCGTTGCTGCTGACAGAATGAGACCGACAATTAGTTACATTGCAGGTGTTGCCTTGCAGCATGGATCTAATGTCCCAACCTTCTCTCCCAGCGAAAGGGCAGCGTGTCCTTACGAAGCTACACGAGGGTCTCACGACAGGAAAAATGTGAATGACAAAGTTGAAACTTACCAGGCCAACTGCAGCAGGTTGTCTTGCCTCGTTTCACCAATTGACGTCCACTGACTGAAACTTAGTCTCGAGTTTGATAGTGTATGCAGCTAAAGGGCCATGTGCTGAACGTCTCACCTCTTTATCTGTCTGTTTGAATGTCTCTTTCTGGTGTTTTTCAGATATGAACCTCATATTTTCTCCTCATATCTGAACTTGTAGCCCCACCCTTTGAATTCAAACAAGCTGCAGTTGCTTCCTGGACCAGATATGAAGAGGGGCTCTGGAGAGAAAGACCCACACCCATAAACACATGTGTTTGGAGGAAGTTGGCTGTGGGGAAACTGGTGAAGTCAGCACACAGATGTCAAAGCTGTGATAATGTTATGTACTGTCAACATGAAGTCAAAATAGTCCCATTTACTATACTTTCCAAAAACACGGTTCTACTCTTATTGTGCCGGATTGTATCCCAAAAAAAACTAATCTTTCACCTAATCTTAAAACAAAAGGAACAACTTTTCTTTTTTGCTGAAATCACCATGCACTCTTTTTTAACCAATTTCCTCCATTCTGCTTCTCAACACCACTTTTCATTATCCAGTCAATTCCCAATGGACATATTTCAAATTTCTCATTGAATATCCAGTTCCCCTCCAAGAAATTTGATTGCAGAAGTGGGTTGCAACCTTTGGAGAACTTAGTTTGGCGCATTTAACTGGATTGTAGGCTAAGTAATGTTAATTTAAAACACATCTGATTTTATTGCCATCTCAAAAACCATCACATTAGGTCATATTCTTCATAAACCTGCACTCATACTGTATACATTCACACTTTCTCACGGCCTGAGTTTTCGGATCAAGTTTTCATCAAGTGTTCTTCTTTTACAATCCCTCTGTTCCTGTCAAAACACTTGGCTGTACAAAGTTAAATTTGTCATTTCACACAAACGTAATACAAATCTTATCCAGTTCTATCTGAAAAGAAATTCAGTAACTACCTGCCTACAAAGTAACATGCTTGATATAAATGGGGTGATGGTGTCATGAAAATATTAAAATATATAACTACATACAACAGAAAGTGTGAGATCAATCTCCAGAGTTAAAATGTACAGTTAAATAATCTTCTATTCATTGATCATTCCCCAAACGTTCAAGGTTCAACGACTCCAAAACAGAGTATTCTAACATGTACACATAGTTCACTGCAGACTTAACTTAAGTTCTTTGTTACGGTTTTTGTAACTTGTTTCCAAGTAAAAATATATGGATAAGATATTAAAGGATTAGTTCACTTTTGAAAAAACTTTTGCTGATAAATTACTCACCCCCATGTCATCCAAGATGTCCATGTCTTTCTTTCTCAGTCGAAAAGAAATTAAGGTTTTTGATGAAAACATTCCAGGATTTTTCTTCTTATAATGGACTTCAATGGGAACCAGGTCCAACCGAGGTCCAAACAACAGTTATAACAGTTACAGATGCAGCTTCAAATGTCTTACGACACCAGACGATGAATAAGGGTCTTATCATGCGAAACGATCGGTTATTTCAAAACTTATTCCAAAAATGTAACTTTTCTAAGGACAAATGCTAGCCTTGTAATATATTGTGAGGCGCGTTTGCAACGTCACGTAATACGTAATTACGCTCAAAAGGTCACGGGCGACGTAGCCGGAAGTACAGAATCAAAATCGTCAGACATCGTTGTTTTACCTTTTAATTCCTTTTTTGTAAACGCCGTTTGAGTTAGTTTTCACGTTCAACCTATGCGTTCAACTTGTAAACACTCTGACTCTGTACTTCTGGCTACGTCGCCCGTGACCTTTTGAACGTAATTACGTATTACGTGACGTTGCAAACGCGCCTCACAGAATGGAGAAAGGCTAGCATTTGTCTGAGGAACTGAGGAAAGAAAGACATGGACATCTTGGATGACATGGGGGTGAGTAAATTATCAGCAAAAGTTTTTTCAAAAGTGAACTAATCCTTTAAGGCATGATTTCAATGACTGTTTTAAATATATATATATATATATATATATATATATATATGTTTTGTCTCATTGCACTTGTAGGTTTTCAAACGTTAATTTGTTTTCATATTTAAAACAAATGAAAAACCTCCCTCAGTGCATATGACAAACATGTGTATTATATTACAAGCAACCTGATCTCATGAGAAAACATCAATTTTACAGGTGACTATTTCACATGAATTCCTACGGTATGATTCATGCATTAACGTACTTTTAGGAACAAAAAAAAATATACATGAAATTCTGTTTCACTCATTTCACGAGTTCACACTTACATCAATTAAACAGAGTGAAGATGCGTATTTGGCATGCCGTCCGGGGGTAGGGCTCTGAGCTGGGAATTTTTGCCCAAACCCAGAGTACATCCACCATGTTGTAAGATTATTTAGGACCAGAAGTGAGGAGATGGGGTGGTCGAAGGAATGCTGTTAAACTGTCAACGAACGGAGATAAGTTTGCTGTATATATACACCTCTTTACTGGTTGATTGGGTTGATTAACTCCCACTCGTGTGCTCCCACTCGTGTCTAATTAGGTTTGATTACCTGAATGTGCGCAACATGTTTAATTAGGTTTAATTATCTGAACGTGCTTCTCCCAAACTTTGTTCATGAAACATAATTTGTTAACATGACGCCGTTCATCGTCCATGAGGGGGTTTGGCGTCGCAGCCATAGACAGTAAAAGAAATGGACACAGCGACCCCATTGATTTCAACGGTGAAGCCTGATTATTGCACTTCCAGCGACTGCGCAGGCTCAAACTGAGCTCAGTGACAGTCTGACAGTTGTAAATCTTAAAAACGTTGCTTTTATGGACTATCTATGGGCTTCTTCCTTGACTTTATGCCTCCATGTCCCCCCGATTGCCTCATTGACAGTAAAAGATTGCCTGCGAGCTTCTTCTCCTGTCTATATGGTAATGTCTCTATTTTGCGACAAAAAGTTGCGTGGTTATGACGCAATCGTTAGCCTATTTTTACAAAAACGGCTTCTACGGGGCCGTAACGTAAGATATGACACAGTCTCATCCCAAAACGTCATATAACTGACACTTTTGACCATACGTCAACATCCGCCGTTTTAGGGTACCCTTAAACGTCGGTTAGATGACGATCCTGGGGCGTTGGTGACGGGGTAGGTTTAGGTCTGGGGTAGGGTTAGAATAGATAATGTCATCTAACCGACGTTTAAGAGTACTCTAAAACGGTGGATGTTGACATATGGTCAAAATCGTCAGTTGTATGACGTCTTGGGATGAGACTGCGCTGTAAGATACAAAGTAATGGAGCCTTTCATACATTGTCGTGTTTCTTTAGAAATAAATAATGGACAAATTAAGTCTTTGGACGCCTCAGATGTAAAGTTATTTGCAGTCAAAGTGACGCCAAAATGAATGGGAGTCAATGGGATGCTGACAGCAGGTGAAGTTCTGCTAAAATGGCGGCTCCCGGGAGGCTTCAACTTCCGGCTGATGGATTACCCCCTTGGTCACAGTATTTTTGTTTCCAGGTGGACCATTGAAGAATGAGACACAGACGTTTCCCGGACATCCTGTAGAATTCAACCAATCAGATGACAACTTCGAAAAGTGTCCAGTGGTTCAGAGGCCGAGACTAGTCCAACACTAACTTATGTTAAAGACACTAAGTATAACACTAAGTTGTATTTTAATGATGTATACTACAAATGGCGGAAACGAGACATCAACTTTCTGTTCACGGCACTCATCCAGGGGGGGGAAGCTCTTGGGGCGAGAGGCGGAAGGCGTTAAGGGATCCGGAATGGCTTTTTAATTACAGCCATTTTCTGCTCAGAAATGAACTGATGCAGGCTGTCAGCAGCCACAGATGCCGCGCAGACCGAGGGGATGCGGGCCGCACCGAGACGCCCCCCGCCAGCTACAGCTGGATCTTATGGGCGAGGATATTAATTACTGAGAAAACACATGCACTGACCTGCTGTATTCTGTGTGACTAACGGAAAGGAAAACAATGATCGAAGTGACTCGTTACATTATTTATGACTGCCTATGGTTAGTGCGGACTTTGCTAATTGTGTTTTCAAACAAACGTATTAGCAAGGAAATTAATTAGCGTGGGTATGCGTTTCGTAGTGCAGCAGTTAATCAATGTTAAGATGGGCGACTCTACACTGATAATGTTAAAGGAACAGTTCAGCCGAAAGTGGAAATACTGTTGTTATTTACTCACTCTCATGTCATTCCAAACCGGTCTGAAAAGATGAAAAACTACATTACAAAACCTAAAAAAATGACAAAAAATATATATCAAAATGACCCGTAAAGTACTTGGCAGAAATGTTACATCATAAATAATCAGAGAGCCATTCCTGTCCACGCCAAACCACACACACCTCAAAGTACTTGGCATTTAAAAGTTGCAGACAAGCCTCATCAATTTGTACACGAAGTTCAGTGAAATCTCAAGGAAGGAAAATCACACACAGTCTGGATAGAAATGTCTCCAGTATATTATCTTTTTTCACAATGCTTCCCCGAATTTATTCTGACCTTCCTTTGAATACCGTAACTACAGCTAAATTTGTCATTGGACCTTCATTATGGATTTGGACCATTTTCCAACTTTCCGACTAAAACAACAGTTGGCTCAAGTACTGCTGGCATCTCAACTAACGTAAAAAGAGAGTCATATCAATAAGGAGAATCAGATCTTCTCAAAATGTGCAGATACTGTAGTAACAATGTCAGTCGTTTAACTCTTGTGCACATGTCCTTACGATTGTTGTTTAGGATTGTACAGTGTGATCCAGGGTAAAAATCCATGGATTGTGCAACATCAACATGTCAATATGTTACGTGCATTGGATTATGGTCACCCCCAACCCGATCTCACGGGAATTCGTACGAATTTTACGAGGTGGCTAATTCGTAACAATTCATACGACCTCACTCGTACAAATTAGTACGATTTTGCTAAATCGTACATATTTTACGAATTGGCCAATTCGTATGAATTCGTACGAATGACCTACCCCTGACCATCACGTGGGTTTAGACAAATCGTATGAATTCGTACAAGTGAGGTCGTACGAATTAGCCACTTTTTAATCACTCGTACGAATTGGTCGTGAGATAGGGTAGTCACCCCTGACAGAGTTGAAATTCTGGCCGATACTGATAAGCAGAAAATTATTTGTATATTATGGCGGATTACCGATACTGGCCAATTTTATAATT